CCTCCACCCTGGTCCCTCTAACCTTATCAGGCATTGCAGTGTACTGGGGAGAACATGAGGTCTCTGCCACTTGCTGGCTGTGTGGCTTTGAGCAAGTTCCTTAAACTTCCTGTGTTTCTGTCATTTGTAAAATAGGAATGAATGATAATAGTAATAAGCCATAGCCACTACATAGTTGTAGGTATTAAATGAATTCATCCCAGTAAAGCTCTTAGAGTAGTGCCCAGCACGTAGTTAAGTAATCAGTAAACATCAGCTGTTATTATCCTCTTTGACTTCACTCCGTGGGGCAACCCAAGGGAATGCAAGAAGCGAATGTTGGGCCTGATGATGACTTCATTTCAAGGGGCGGCCCAGCTAAGCAGTGCAGGGGGTCAGCCTCCACCTGTTCACTGAGGGAGCAACTGGGAATCCATCAAGGTCAGGCTTCCATAATCAGATTTTTGTGCACTGCCAATGTTGCCACCTCCACCTCTGGAGAGTCTGGGCAGGCCTGAGCTGAGATGGAGTCCCAGGTACAGGGTGGACTGGGAACAAATGCACCACCCCAGAGGTGGAGCAGCTGCCCAGACAGGCCTGCAGGAGTCAGCCTGCGCTGGGCTGGAGATGGCTGGGCGCATTTACAGACTCTCCTGGGGACATTGCAAAAGGGCTCTGATGCTTGGCAGATTTTTGCTTGATCCTCCAGGCCCCTCATTCTGGAGATTCTGACATTTCTTCTGCCTGGTAAGCGGGAAGGAGCAAGGCGAGAAAGATGGGGATGTGGTGAGGTTTACCAAAGCTCCTGCTGTGGCATAATGTTGGGTGAGCACTTGCCCTCACACAAGATGCCTGGTTAGGCCCTGTGGTGAGTCAGAATTGGCTCCTAAAAGAACCAGTCCTTGAGCCACAGTATTTGGGGGAGGGGGGGTGAGACAGGGGTCTCCCACCCCAACAGTCAGTATAGCACATTAGAAAGCAGCCTGGATAGGAATCTTGCCAGAAATCCTACTGGCTGAATAGCCTGGGACAAGTCACTTCAGCACTCTGAACTTCTACCTCCATTCTGCAAAATGGATACAGTACCTTCTGCCTCCCCAGGTGGCTGAAGAGTTTAAAAGTGTATGAAAGTTAGGGCTTGCTGGATGAAAGCTATTTTTTATTTAGCAGTTTCTCAGCCCTTCTGGGGACAGAAAGACAGGAAGGTCATCATGTTTGGTGGCAGAGCTTGGGTCTTGAACTACTCTCCAACCCTCCCCCCTACCCTCCTGCTCTCACATGTACCTTCTTTTCCAACAAGACTGGCTGCCCCTGGGCTGACAAGCTGTTCTGTACTTCCTTGCCTTAGCACCTGCTGGTCCCACAGCCTGAATTGCCTTGTCTCCCTTTGCCACCTGACAAATGGCAGCAACATCCACCTTCCCTGGTCCCAAAAAGAATGAGTACCCCATAGCTTGGGAACTCACCCTCACGGGCCTGGACTAGCTAGGCCCACTCCATGGCCCCGGCACTTAGAAAGGGCTTGTCTCCCAGTAGGGCTCAGAGCTGCAAAAAGAGGGGTAGAGGAGGGGGAGGTCCCCAGCCCCTGGGCCTTCCTTCTCCTTCCCTTGGGAAATTCAGGACAAGTAGAAGGAGGCTTGGAGTCCCAGCATAGTGTGGGGCAGACCCCCGCTCCTTCTGGGGGCTAGGACTCATGTTAATTTCATGAAAGAAAGGTTCTGCCTCAGCCGGGGCCACTGCCTGAGCCCACGGAAGCTTGGGCCTCACTGAGCCTGCTCCTCAGATGGCCTGGGGCTGGTGGCTGAGTCCCAGGGGTTTGGGAGCAGGCTCTGAGAGGCATTCTGAGGGGCTGCAAGGCAGCAGACACTGAGAGGGAGGAGGAGGAAATGGCCCCCTTCCCTGGCTGCTCTGACAGACAGCTGTGGAGGCCCTGCTTCCTGTGAGGGACTGGGCCCAGGGCTCAGACCTCTGAGCCTCCCATCTCCCCAAACCACAGCCCAAAGGTGTGAAAGAAAGAAAAAAACAGGGGGAGGGGTGGCAGAGAAGAGACAGGTGCACAGTTCACACCTTGACCACAGGTGGGGCCCAAAGCAGCTTCACTCTGACTAACTTCCTCCTCAAGCTTCCCCGCTTGCGGCTTGGGAGAGCAGAACTCAGAGTGCAGGCTCCCGGCTAGGGTGTCTCCCCAAGGGCTGGACCTTCCTTTGACCTGGTCTGGAGGCTGCTTGGGACAGGAAAGGACCAAATTAGAGGCCAGACAAGGGCTTGGCTCAGTACCATGACACAGGCACCTTCCAAGGCACCTGGGCTGTGAAAGACCACAGAAGCCCAGCACACACCTGCTGTTTTGAGCCCTGGGAAGGCAGGAAACTGCTGCTCACTGGGACCTACCCTGTGTCAGACACATTCCACAGTAGCACTGGCAGTCCACAGAGCAAGCCAATCACACATGTCCTATCTTTATCCCTTTTTTTTCAGATGAGGAAACTGAGGCAGAGAGGTGAAATGATTTGCCTGAGATTACACAGCTGGGAAGCCAGAGCACTAGGCTAGGGCTGGCCAAACACTCCCACCTAAGGGGAGGGGCAGCCTTTCTGGAGGGGCCACCCTCTGGACAAACACACGCCTGCCCACCCCACACTCCCAGGGCTCCCCCAACACGAAGACTCCCAGTAACTCTAGGTCTGTAGCCACTGCCTCCCACTCAGCATTCTCAACTGTGTGCCTACAAAGTGCAGGGCCCTGTGCCCAGGGCCTTACAGCCTTGGTTATCTCAGTTTATCTTGTAACAACCCTGCTGAGACCAGCTCAAAACAGTTATGTCATTTGTCCAAGGTCACACAGCTCGAACTGGGTGGATTTAGGGCTGGAGCCAGACAAGTTCAATGTTCTTGGCCACACAGGGAGCAGGGAGAGCAGCCCGCCCCGAGGCTGGCCTATCAGGCTGCGGCCCTTACACTCAGAAAGGAAAGCTAGCTGCACTTTTGCAAAGCTCTTGTCTGATGTGCTCGTGCTGCCGTTTCTTCTTCCCAGCAGTCCAGGAAGGTGAGGGTCATTGTCCCCATGTGATAGAGATGAGGCGAGTGGGGCACAGGAAGGACACCAGGGTCCCTAGACTGAAATTCCACACGGACCAGTAACATTCCAACATATATTTAGAGGACCCACAGTGGGTTGTCAACTTCTAACAACAGGAGATACTTCCAAAACCATCAGCTATTTCTACCATCATCTCATAAAGAAAAAAATCATTTTAATACTACAAAGGTGATGAAGGACAAACTTGCAGAATAGAAGACCTTCCATTATGTTGAACAAATAGAGCGGACTAGAGATGCCACAAATTCATGAGAGCAGTTGCTCCTGGGGCAAGCAGAAAGGGAATAGAGTTGGGAAGAGTACCTGGGGACCTGCTGATTTTAAGGAAAATCTGTAAACAGCGTTTTTGTTGTCCCTTTTCGTTGTCCTCATTTCTCTCATGTGTAGAAGCCCAGTGAATGGAAATTCTTCCTGCACCAGCATCACGAAACTGGTCCTGGCTCCCACTTCTCTTCCTCACCTGGCAGGCAGTTCCTTGCCAAGTCCATCCTACTTCCATGGCTTCTGGAATCCTCCCAGTCCCCTCCACTTACACTGCTCCTGACCTCCTCCAGGCCCTCAGTTCCTTCTGGCCTGGAGCTTGCAGGTGACAAGCTGCTTGGAGCAGGGATAGTCACGTCTTCTGTCCACAGGAGGCAGGGAAGGGCCTTTGGGCTTATCAAGTGTGCATCTTGTCAATCAGTGTGAACTGAATCCCAGGCCCTGGGCTAGAGGCTCTTGTGAAGTGCTCTGGCTAAACGCTGGACCCCAAGACCATGGGCTAGCATTGCCTATGTCTCTCTTTTTCATCTGCGGGGAGAGAGGAAAAGCGGAAACTGCTTGGGAAAGGCAAGTTAACGGCCACCTTTGCCAGCTGCTAATGAGAACAAGGTGACAGGGAGGGGAGCAGAGGGCAGGAGAGAGCTGAGGGCAGGGTGGGAGTGGAACTCCCCACAGTGAGCAGCAAAAAAGGACTGATTGGCTCCACAAACGCTGTTTACAGATTTTCCTTAAAATCAGGAGATCCCCAGGTACTCTTCCCCAACTCTATTCCCCTTCTGCTTGCCCCAGGAGCAACTGCTCTCACGAATTTGTGGCATCTCCAGTCCCTCTTTCAAACTCTAGAACAAATAGCTGTATCCAGGGCAATACAGTGCTTTTTTGTGTGTGGTTTTTAGAATTTACGTAAGTGGTGGCAAACTATACACATATTCTGTAACTTGCCTCTTCCACCATGTGATCATTGGCTTTTCCAGATGCACCCACATTAAAATATAGAACTCTAGGTCACTTGGTTTTAACAGAATTAATATGTCATAGTTTCTCTATTTATAAAAACTGAAGGCGGTGTGATAAGTGGCAAAAAGGAGAGTCAGACAGCCATGGGTCCAGCTTTAGCACCCACCCTTACTTGCTGTGTCTGCTGAAGACCTTTCTCCTTTCTGGGTTAGTCATAAGGATAACCCCCACCTGATGAGGGAGTTGTGTGGTTGGAATGAGGCGGTGATAGAGAAAGCACCTAAAGCGACATCTGGCACATAGCAATTCCCTTTCCTTGCCCCCATTGATTAGCATGCAGGGGCAATAGTAAAGGATTAGATTTAGTGTAGTCAATTTCTTTTAAATATTTTGATTTTTAAAAGAGTTTTAATCTCCTTTTATAGACTTAACATGTTTATCGAGCCAGTCTACAATCAGGCAAAAATTGACTCCCGCCCAGAACAAATGAGCACAAGAGAAGCAGTTCTTTCCCTGGTGGCAAGCAGGGCTTCACTCCCCACCTGCTCTGCTTCTCCTTCAGGCCTCTCCCCTCGGAGGACCTGCCTCTACCCTTCCCTAGGACTCGGCCATTCTGGCCCCAGGCTTGTGTCAGATCCTCCAGAGCAGCTTCCCTGGCCAGGAGAATGCCATTGGGTGTAGGGAGGTCTGGTGTAGATAACCCCATGGAAGAGGCAGCTGTCAAGAACCACATGAAACCCTTACTTCCTCTGTACAGTGCAGGTTCACAACCACAAGCACCAAAGCAGAGGGGCAGGCAGCACGCGCCAGGCAGCCGGAGCACCAACCCAGCCATGCTCCCTGAGGTAAGTGCTGCTGCCCAGCCAGGCCAGACCACTCTCTTGAGTGGAAAGCCCAGGACACTAGGGGATCGGCAGGGCTGGCCCATGAGCCAGACCACCAGAGGGTTGGGTGAGTAGGTAGAGAATGCAGGGGTTATGTAGAAGGGTCACTGGACAGGGAATTGAGAACCCACCTTGGCCATTGATTAGTGTGAATGACGACCAGCAAGTCACTTCCCCTCTCTGGCTAGTGCCTCATCTGCAAAATGCAGGAGGTGGGGGCTCACCCCCGAGAGCTTGCAAGGCTCCCTTCAGCTCTGACTTGGGACTTTGGCTCTTCTGTGCTGAACTGAATTGGCACTGGGGAGGCCTGCAGCTCTGGGGTGGTTCATGGGAGAAGGCTGGAAGAAGTATTTCTGCTAAAGCTTGGTGGAGGAGCCCCCAGTGGGTGGCAGTCCTTGGTGTAAGGGAGGAAAAGAATGGCAGAAAGCATGCATGGGGGCACGGTGATTTGTAGAGAGGTCCCATGGGGAGCAGGAAGTTGGGGTCCCCAGACAAGGGCTGAGGAGTGACGAGAAGGGAGAGGGGATGGTGAGGTGGTGCCTGGGGAGGAAGGTGGTAGAATTACGTGTGGCCAGGACACTGAGAACAGCAAGCCTTGAAGGAAGAGAAAGGAGAGAGGGGAGAGGGGCAGGGAGGGCTCTTGGCACAGGGGAAATTTCCTCCAGCCCATAATCCCTGGGCTGAAGGGATGGCCCTGAAGGGTGAGTGAGAATCAGCCTTTGAGAAAGAAAATTACATATCAGCACCAAGGCTGGGAAGGTGCAGTTTAGGAGGTGTGGCCTTGGAAGAAAGGTGGGGACAATTACAGGGTGTGGCCCAGGCCTCAAGGCCTGCCTTACGGCTCCCAGAAAGGCTCCTCAGACTACATCTCTGAAGGAGTTTGTTTACAGGGTCTGTTCCTTCCTCTCCTCCCTCCCTCCACAGATCAGTGAACGCCTAGAGCTTCTAGGCTCTGACCCCGCCTATCTCCTGGAAAACTATAGCTCTTCCTTTGACTATGGAGGAGAAAACGAGAGCGATTTCTGCTGTGATTCCCCACCCTGCCCACAAGACGTCAGCCTGAACTTTGACCAGGCCTTCCTGCCAGCCCTCTATGGCCTCCTCTTTGTGCTGGGGCTGCTGGGCAATGGCGCTGTGGTGGCAGTGCTGCTGAGCCAACGAGCAGCCCTGAGTAGCACTGACACCTTCCTGCTTCACCTGGCTGTGGCTGATGCCCTGCTGGTGCTAACGCTCCCCCTCTGGGCAGTGGATGCTGCGATCCAGTGGGTTTTCGGCTCTGGGCTCTGCAAAGTGGCAGGTGCCCTCTTCAACATCAACTTCTATGCAGGGGCCCTCCTGCTGGCCTGCATCAGCTTTGATCGGTACCTGAGCATAGTGCATGCCACTCAGCTCTACCGCCGGGGGCCCCCGGCTCGTGTGACCCTCACTTGTGTAGCTGTCTGGGGGCAATGTCTATTCTTTGCCCTCCCTGACTTCATTTTCCTGTCAGCTCACCGTGACGCACGCCTCAATGCCACCCACTGCCAGTACAACTTCCCACAGGTGGGCCGCACGGCACTGCGCCTACTGCAGCTGGTGGCTGGCTTCCTGCTGCCCCTGATGGTCATGGCCTACTGCTATGCCCGCATCCTAGCTGTGCTGCTGGTCTCCAGGGGCCAGCGGCGACTGCGAGCCATGCGGCTGGTGGTAGTGGTAGTAGTGGCCTTTGCCCTCTGCTGGACCCCCTACCACCTGGTGGTGATGGTGGACATCCTCATGGACATGGGGGCTTTGGCCCGCAACTGCGACCGAGAAAGCCATGTGGACGTGGCCAAGTCTGTCACCTCAGGCCTGGGCTATATGCACTGCTGCCTCAACCCGCTGCTCTATGCCTTCGTGGGTGTCAAGTTCCGAGAGCGGATGTGGACGCTACTTCTGCGCCTGGGCTGCCCTGGCCAGAGTGGGCACCAGCGGCAGCTGCCATCTTCCCGCCGGGATTCATCCTGGTCTGAGACCACAGAGGCCTCCTACTCGGGCTTGTGAGGCTGGGCTGAAGGTGACCCTTTTGCCACGCAGCCTGACTGCCCCCTCATTCCAGGTTCCTTTCTCCCTCCCTCTCCGCTGGTCCTGGCTCCCCAGATGCACACTCCTGGGATTTCCTGGGAGCCCCCCTCCTGGCTCTTGGGACTTTGCCGCTGCTGCTCCTTAGTTACAAAGCCCTATCCTGCCGATTCAGAGTTGGCTGCTTTCAGGCCCTTCTTTCTTTGGCTGCATGGAACCCCACCACCCTCTTAATTCAGTAACTAGACTTTGGCCTTCCCCACGTGCAAAGAGCATGAAGCAAGCAAGCATGGTGGAAACTGTCTCTGTGGGGTCTTAGCCCAGGCCTCCAGCGCAGCAGTGACTGGCTATGGTCCCCAACACCTCTCTATTTGCTCATTTTTATGTCTAAAATTCTGCTTAAAACTTTTCAATAAACAAGATAATGAGGACCAAGGTGTGCTAGTGGTGCCTTATTCCAGCCTATCCTGCCCAGGCTCTGGGATGCGCTTCCTGCTTCTCCTTGCCTGTCCCTGGGACTGGGCCAACCAATGCTGCCTGTTCATATTTATGTCTGGCCTCCTCTCTGTCCTCCTGGGCACTCCTGTCACTTGCAGGGAAGCACCTAGGTACATGGGTGCAGGATAAGCAGTTGACTGGCTGGCTAGACACTGTATAGGTATACTTTGGGGAAAGGGCCTTCAGACATAAATAAGACATAGTCCTGCACTCCAGAAGCTTAGGCCAGCAGGGAAGACATGATGAGAAGTAACAATACCAAGCAGTCTACACCATGAGGCAAACGTGTGGCACACACAGTGAACCTTGGGCTCAAAGCACTGTGGCCGGAGCCATTTGGGATGGCTTCATAACGACAGAAATGAGCAGACCTTAAAGGGCAAGTAGTATTTCCCAGGACAAGAAGGGAAAAGGGCATTTCCAAGAAGGGAGGGCCGAAGGAAAGCTGGGGAGGCTAAAAACAGCAGTGCTTTTTGGAGGAATTATAAGTGGTCTCGTCTGGCTAGAGTTAAGGATTCAGGTAGGAGAAGGGTTGAAAATAAGACCAAGTTAGTTTGGGGTCAGGTGATGGTATTCTAGAGACCAATGGAGAAGGCTGTCATGGTTAGTCAGGTGAGCCATGCTTTTCCTTGGGAAATGGCAGTGGGATGGAAGACAGGCAATGCAATCAGATGATTAGCTGACAGTCATTAGCACAAAGGCCATCTAGAGGCATGGGTGGGCTGTGAGGAGCTTTGTCTCACGGCTATAGCTAGGGCGGAAGTGAATGGGAGAAATGAACAGGGCTCCCCAAAATGGCAGCTGATGGGGTTACTGAGTTAAGGGAGAGGCCAGAACCCTCCCTTTGTAGGGGCAGAACCACCAGTCAGCTCCCCCTAAATCCCCAGTGTGTCATGATCCAGTTTCACAGGCCAGCAGGGCCTTTACTGAGACCACAGATATGGCTGGAGGTGGAACTGGAGAGAAGGGACTGAAGGATACAGCTGGGGAAGCTCATGCCATGCTTTGTACACACCCAATCCCATCTAGACCGGTGGCTAGGCTTCCATCTATGGCCACGGAAAGAACACTAAGTCCCTGCCGAATGCAGGAAGGAGGGAAATTGATAGAGCACATGCAGCCTCTAAACAGGAACAGCGACGCCAGACTAGTAAAGATGTGTGTGGCAGGCTGAATAATGAGTCCCCAGAGATGGCCACACTCCAATCCCCAGAATTTTGGAATATGTTACCTTACGTGGCAAAGGGAACTGAGGCTGTTAATCAGTTGGCCTTAAAATAAGCTTCTCCTGGATTATCCAGTTGGGGCCACTGTCATCACCTGGGTCCTTAAAAGTGAAAGAGGGAGGCAAAAGGGGAGTCAGAAAAGCAGACATTGCCAGCTTTAAAGACTTAAAGTCGGAGGAAGACTTAAAGTCGGGATTGCAACAGCCTCCAGAAGCTGGAAAAAGACAAGGAAATGGTTCCCAGAGCCTCCAGAAAGAAATGCAGCCCCGCCCACACCTGAATTACAGTTCAGTGAAGTCTGTGCCACATTTCTGACATACAGAGTGGTGAGATAACAATGTCACTAAGCTTGTGGTATTTGTTATAGCAGCAATCTGGAACAAATACAGCATTGGTTCCATCTACATCCCAGATAGCTCCCAGATGTGGGGAGGCTGCTGACATACTTGTGAGCAGTCACAAGAATCAGAGAAAAACCCAGAGCACATCCAGGAGAGCTTCAGGTATCCAGGGGCTTGTTCTGCTCTCAGCACAGGTTGGCAATGAACAGGCTTTGCTAACAAGTGAATTGCAGAAAACATTTTATTTATTTTTATTTTGTGAACAATTGGCAAGAGAAACTAAATTCATGAAACATGCTTTTTATTTCTAGGTAGGTGTTACAGGTTACATCTGCCAGCAGTCCTTGCTGCCTTTAAAATGTGTTCCCTTTCCAGCATTACTCACATTCTCTCTGCTGGCCACTCTCAAAAATGTATTTTGATTTTGCATTTCATTCTACACGTTACAACTCTGGAGTGTAAGTAAGACATAAGGTGGGCCCAAAGGGCTTCTGAGCACTGTCAAGGGCACAAAGTGCTGAGTAATATAATCTTTGGTTAAAGAATAATTATCAACAATAAAAGCTTTAGTAAAAGGATTTAAATTCTATTAACCATAACTTCATAGAAATAAAGATATTTTTCTAAGACTGCTTCACAGTAGAGGACTCAGCTCACACAGATACCCTCTCACATAACCTCAAAGTTTGTTCTTTTTTTTACAGATAAAGTAATCCTTGCTGAGCGTTCTCATCACATCCCCATGGGTGATGCCTTCCGTCTGCTCCCTAACTAATTTGTAATGCAGCTTCACATATTTGGCAAAGGGTCTCACATGGGGCTTTATGGGGGTCCCATCTTTCCGAGTTAACGGCAGCAGGACCAGAGGTCCCTTGCATTCAGCACAGACAAAGCGCACAACGTCCAACGATCTGGTGTAGCGGCCAACCCTAAGAAGGAAAGATATACCACACAACAAAGGGTTAGTCACTGTAACTCAGCCTCTTCTCTGTGCTGGCCTTAGGCCCAAAGCCAGATTTTCTGGGGATTCTCAGAGAGTGGGGCACCAAGCAGCAGCAGTGGTCAGGCTGGCTCAAAGTAGGGGAGATTGGAGAAAAGAGGACACAGAAAGGAGTAAAGAGGTTTTACTCCTCAAGTCAGACAGCCATGTACTTACTAATGTAATCACTGAAGAGCCACTTGGGGGCCTTAGTAAAAACATGATTGGAAAAAGTCTGAGGAGAAGGATCTTACCTGGTTTTGCATTGAGCACACTCATAATAAATCTTGTAGTTAATCTTGTAGTTATGGAAACGGGTGACTAAGGGCAGCTCTGGGTGCACCTTATTACATTTTCTGGCATAATATCTCCATGCGTGGCCATGAGAATCATGGATGCCATTAAGCAGCCAGGAGGCTGCGTGGCATAGCTCATGTATCAAAGTATCCCGGATTCGGTCTTGGAAAAGGAATAAAAAGAAACCATGAGCACTTAAACCGATTCCCTTCTGGTCACTACCCAAGCAGCCCTGGACTCTCAACCCCACCACACAAAACGCCACCTTATATAAACATATGCAGGTGAGCATGAGTGTTATTTTTCCAGGATTCTGAAAGGGAAATTTCTATCCACTTCAACCCAATATGGTAAATGGCAGAGCCTTGAGTGGTGAATCTTTCGGAGCAGCTCCAGCCTGCTCATCTTTCTGTGGGACACTGCCCGAAATACACCTGGCCAAGACCTGGTTTCCGCCCTCCAGGAACATAGGTGGACAAGGTGGGGAACAATCACCTGGGCTGTGCAATTTGGTCAGGAGAAGCACTATGGAGAAACTGGGATCTGAGCTGGGCCCTTAACAACTGACTGGATTTGCAAAATTAGAAAAGCCATTCTAGGTGTGAAAAATGTAAGCAAAGATTGAGGCCAGGAAAGCCTGTGGTCCATTCTGAAAGCCAGTGGGAAACCAGCCTTGCTGGAGCACAGGCTAGTGGTGGAGCAGTGGGAGCCAAGACAACGACAGCCTTGAAAGCCGGGCTCCAGGCACTGGCAAGCCCCAGGTTTCTTAGCAGAGAGAAGAGTGAGGTGATGAGGGCCCATACCTGGGCAGAGGCAAAGATAGAGAAGGAATAACAGGAGAGTCATTATGAAGATCTGGTGATCGGCTAGATGTAGGGAACCTTGACCCTCAGTTACAGGGAGAATGAAGATGCTGCTGCTGCCAACAGGAAGCCGCAGAGAGAAAGCTAGGCTTACTAGAAAGATGGACAAGTGGGACTCTCAAGGATGGTGAGACATCCAATAATAATGTCCTCTAAGCAACACACAGTAGGCCTGTCCACCCTGGAATGACAGGTAAGGCTGTGACACAGGATGCCAGAGAATATCAGCACCTAAAAATAACTTAATAGGCACCGTGTCAGAAGAAAAGAGCCCAGAGGGAAAGCTGCCATGCTGCTGCCATCACCTGCAGAATCGCAGACTTTCAGAGAAATCTCAATCTTAGTGTAACGCTCCTTCGGGCAATGAAACAGGCCAGAGCTGCACAAGCCAGCAGTTCTCAGCATCTTATTATTCCAGCAGATATCCAGTCTCTCTGGCAGCTGAGAAAGACAAGCAAACAGTGAATCAGAAAGCAGTTCTAAGCAGACCGGAAAATATTAACTCAAGAGTTTTTGCAAATCTAAACATTCTGGGGAGAATTAAAGGCAAGTCAAAGCTCAGGCAAAGACCATTAACAGGCCATCAGGACACAAGGGAGACTCTGAGAGTGTGGGAGTGCAGGGGCTGTGCTCCCTCGCATGGAGACCAAGTCAGGGGCAGCCACGAGAGGACAAACCAGTTGAGGTAGATGTGACCTGTGTGAGAGGGTGAGGCACAATTGAAAACGCAAGTCAGAACTTAAGGTTCCGCTAATCAGTCATCTGATGTGGCATCAGGAAGGGCACCAAAGAATGGGGAACCTTTAGAATGACAGAACTTTCCCTGCAGAGACAATAAAGTCTGAAAAACCTAATGGCCAATGGGTCTGCCTCTCTGCCCCAGATTCCTCCCAATCTAGTCTGCACTCCTGCTTCTGACAGACTTGTCTCTTTCAGCAGCCACTTCATAGCACATCCCTGTGCAGTGGTGCCTACTGATTTCAATTTAAGCTTCCCCAACCTGATTCCCAAGGCTTTCTATTATCTAGTCCTATACTATCAAAAAAAATAGCTAACATGTATTACTGACTATGCTGTAAGTCTTGTTCTAATACACTTCAGGTGTATTAACTTACCTAGGCCAAACAATAATTCCATGAAGTAGGAGGAACAGTACTATGATTGTCCCCATTTTATAGATGAGGAAATGGAGGCAGAGGACTCAAGTAACTTGCCTGAGGTCACATTATTCTTCAACACAAACCCTCTTCCAGATAGTTGAGCCTCAAAATATGCCCTCTCTACCATCACTGACTTATCTCCACTTACCATCCTTCATTAACCAGAACAAGTCTCACTTCCTCCTGGCAATCCTATTTCCGGACCACTGAGGTCTCAGTGATTTCTCCCTCTCCTGATCTCCTGTGGTAGTAACAGTCTGTACCGTATATTATAATCCACAAACATTCTCTATTTCTTTCACATAAGCATGTCTCATCTCCCCATCTAAATTGACACTTCTTAAGGACAGGAAATATACCATTAGCACATCTGCACACCTCACAGCACCCAAGAGTGCCAGGCATACAGCAGGTATTCAATCAGTGCTTCTTCATTGATTTTACCTTGTTCTCAAAGACAGTGCTGTTTATCAGAGTGTACAATTTCTGAACCAGTTCATCCTTATTTTTCTTGAATTGTCTTCCAGAATACTGCTTTAACTTTTCAATGTTACGCAAGAAACATCCAGGTATATTGCAGTTAGTGTTCCTGCAAAAGGAAATTCAACTGAGTCTTGTATAACTAAACAAATAAATAGAAGAAATACATACACGTCAAGAGAGACTTGGAAAACTTGCTAGTTCCTCCTCCTTCCAGCTCCTTATATGAGAGCACTTCCCAAGATTCCATTCATAGCCTTTTCCTCTTTACTCCTTGCAAATCCTCAGATATGGGAAGCCCACAGTTTCAACCTCAACAGAAGTGATCCATACCTATATCTTCAGTCTCGATCTCTCTCCTAAGATCTAGTTCTGAGTTTACTATTAATTGTCCGATGCAAATTTCCAACTGACTCACATGAGCATGTCTCCAGCTCAATGTGTTTAATACCCAACTTCTGTTATATACAAGCTGAAAACCTCAAAGACATTTCTTGATTAATTTATTCCTTACCCTATATCCAATTAGGCACAACGACAGACCACTCTTTCCCACCACCTCATTGTCACCACCCTAGTTCCTCACCTCCCCTTTACACATTGATATTACAGCATCCCTCTGTGTTCCTTGCCTCCAAGCTCTTTTTTCTAATGTAACTCACAAACATATCTCCAGATTAATTTTCCTAGGCCATGTTCCAATTATGTCCCACTGACTTCTTGGCCCAGGTCAAGCTAGTCCTGATTTCTATTGCTTTTTTTTAAAGATTTTTTTTTTAATTGAGTTTTAGAGAAAGAGGAAGGGAAAGAGAGAAACATCAATAAGCTGCCTCCTGCATGCCCCCTACTGGGGATCAAACCTACAAGCTGGGCATGTGCCTTGACCAGGAATCCAACTGGCAACCTTTCGGTGCATGGGATGGCTTTCAACCAACTGAGCCACACCGGCCAGGGCTCCTGACTTCTATTTCTAACTGGCATTCCCATTTTGGCCAAAGTGAGCAGCTTAAATATTCCCTTGATGGGAACTGTGATTTCCCAGTTCATTCATGCCTTAGTATGACCTATTTGCTCATAGCCTAGAATGGCCACATCTCCACTGAGAACAAACTCCTGAGTAACACTTTATAATTTGCCAAGAACTTCCTTTTGCATTATCATAGCTCATCTTCACAACTGCCCACCAGAAAAACTTACCAGTCTTATGATCTCCACTTTGCAGATAAGGAAACTGAACCTCAAAGGTTTTAACTTACCCAAAGTTTATGGAGACCCAAATCACATGACCACTATTGCTGCCCCATCTTTCAAGGCCTAATTCAAATGCACAAAGAACAGTGCTGAACACATAAAGGCCTCACACTTGTAATAACTATTTATTGAAACTAAAGCATTTTTATCTTGGCTGGAACAATCCACAAGTCCAAAGAGACAAGCCCACAGAGCTGGAAAGATAAAACAGGAGCAAGCTATGGGAGGAAAAAAGAGGAACAAATGTAATAATCTGAACAATAAAGATTTAACTTTAAAAAAAAGAAAGAAAATGAAAAAAAAAGATAAAACAGGAGCAAACACAGGGAAGTGAGTTTCTGACTTAACAGGGCACTCATTAACCCTTAAGTCACAAAATAAACCCTATGTGAGGTGGCTGGGATTAGGGAGAGGGAAAAAGTACCAGACCAGGCAAATGCAGCTAAAGTAAGGTTCTTCATCCCAAAGCCTGATATGACTACCATGCCTGTCTCAAATTACTTAGTTCTGAAAGCAAATTTACATCAGAAAAGGTGGCAGATGAAGACCAGAACCATCTGCAGACCTCAGCAGAGAATGTGACCCGTTTGTATTTGTGCTCACAGCAAGCAGGCTTTGTGGCTTAGCATACCTTCACCTCAATGCCTGTGCCATTTTACTGCAGGCTAGGTGTATCCACATCAGAGGAGTCAACAAGACTCAAAATGGGTACATTAGACACCATGACCAGTAAGCAGCCTCCATAGGAACAATGCTAAGCACAACAGGAAGTCTACAGACTGAAACAGGAAGTACCAAGGCAGCACTGAGGAGTCCAAACAGGCTAGTCTCCTTTGCATGAAGCAGAGGACAATGACAAAGGGGCAGCTTTTTTCTTCTTTTGTCACACTGTCCAGCCAAGCAACCTTGGAGCGACCAAAAACACCCGTTCCTATAGGCAAAGCAGCTTGAATATGTATCTAGGAATCCAAAGAAGAAACTTTGCTGGGAGGGGAGCCTTCTAATACAGAACAAGCCATACTGCTATCAGCTACCTCACCCGGTGAGAAGTGTGGAAACAGAACCTCTCTGCTCAGGCCCAAGTCACTGTGTTGCCCAATGCCTGATATATCACTCCTCTTCTCCCCTTAAGATGCACTTATTGCCCCAGAATACAAGTAAAAAATTAAACATACAATCCTTCAAATATATGTCTTCTATCATAAGATAATTCAGATGTAAGCAAATATTGCTCCTGAATGCAAGTAAAAACAAAGACATTATGCATACTGCATCATATTATTAAAGAAGAAAGTCAGAAGTTCCCAGAATCTACATGAGAAAATGTATTGATTCTTTGCTTCCTTTAAGTATTAGCATGTCTTTGGTCAAAATGGCCTATTGCTTTCAGTTTCAATTATATATAGCTCAATAAAAATAAAGGAACTATAAGCAATCTATTTCACCCCAATGTTTAATAAAGCTTGAAAATTATGGGAATATACAGAAGTAGTAAGAGTAACCGAGTTCATGAAAAACCTGGAAGACAATCCTGCCTGCCCTCCTCCTGATACCAGCGGACTGGAACCTGTCAATACTGCCTTCTCACCATTTCCACTGCGTTTGCTTTGGTTTAGTGCAAACCAGTGGCCATGAGGCTGGGGAAAAAAATAGTATCTTGTTTGGTTACATATCATTCTTTCATCTGAGTTAAAGGGCAAAGGAAACCTCAGAGGCCAGAGCTGCTACAAGGGCAAAAGTGTCCTAGTTGCCTGAAAACTGCAGGAGTCTTTGCAGAGTGCCACCCCAGCTCTGTTGGGGGAAAGGGAGGAGGGGAGCGGCCAGAACCTGGGCCTCTCCCTCCTGCTTATGCCTTCCCAGTTCAGGGATGGAAACTTTTGTCCCCCTCCTCCACCAGACTCCTTCATGTCCCCCTGAATCCCCCCACATATGCCCAGTGGGATGCTTAACATCTGACAATCATGCAATCAATTCCTGGTTGGTTAAACATGAGCAGTACGTACCTAGGCTCACACTTCTTAGGTCGCGCTGCTCTGCGTTTCTTCTTTGAAGGCTGAACCCGCTTTTGTCCTCTAACAGCTGAAAAGATAATAGTTTATTTGTACCCCAAAAACTGGTACCATCAAGCAACTGGCAGAAACCTAGAAGGACCTCCTCCCTCCCCCCCAGTCATACCCAGAGCAACATCTATAAGCAACAACTGTCTGCCTGAAGGCTGCATATTGCTCCATCAGTCAGCATGAAATATTTACACACTGACTCAGAGCTGCCCACAAAAAAAGCTGTGTAGGACTCTGTCACAAGCACTGAGACTTATAATGGGGTCAGAGGAGCAAGTGCCAAGGTTGGACTGTGAAGGCAACTGAGGTGTTAGCAGTACAAGGAGCGGCATGGCATATCTCACACACTGGCTCTGAGGAAAATGACTCATATCTCAGGAAGCACCTTCACCCTATTTGAAAGCCAAATCTTCCCACCATTGTCTAGCTCCCATACTGCTGGTGGCTCTAGCCAGAGACTTATGTATCAGGAGTGTCATTCATTCACTTAACATATTTATTAAGCATCTGATATGTGCCAAACACCAGGTTAGACCCTGGGAGAGACTGAAAGGTGAGTAAGAGTCCTCCAATCAATAGGCTCAGTGTCTACTGGGGGGACAGATTCAGATGTGAGTGCTTTAGCAGAGGTGGGGTCTAAAAACCTGGGAACCCAGAAGGAGGAGCAACTCTGACTTATAGCTTCCTATAAGTGACAACCGGGCTGGGTCCTAAGAAAAATCGGATATCCTCAGGACAAAAAGCTCAGGGACAGCTCTAGTTGGTTTAGCTCAGTGGTTAGAGTGTTGGCCCTTAGACTGAAGGGTCCTGGGTTCGATTCCGGTTGCAGGCTTGATCCCTGATCCCTGGCCCTGATGGAGCCATGTGTGGAAGGAAACCAATCAATGTGTCTCTCTCACATCGATGTTTCTCTCTCTCTCTCTCTCTCTCTCTCTCTCTCTCTCTCTCTCTCTCTCTCTCCCCCCTCCCTTCCACTCTCTTTAAAAATCAACGGGGAGGGAGAGGATAGCCTCAAGTGAGGATTAACAACAAAAAAAGCTCAGGGAGAGCCCTAACCAGTTTGGCTCGGTGGATAGAGTGTCTAGAGTGTCGGCCTGCGGACTGAAGGGTCCCAGGTTCAATTCTGGTCAAGGGCATGTATCTTGGTTTCAGGCACATCCCCAGTGGGGGGTGTGCATGAGGCAGCTGATCGATGTTTCTCTCTCATCGATGTTTCTAACTCTCTATCCCTCTCCCTTCCTCTCTGTAAAAAATCAATAAAATATATTAAAAAAAAAAAAAAAAGCTCAGGGAGAAAGTACTCCAGGTAGATAGGATGGTGAATACTAAGACTTGGGTGCTCCTCCTCCATTTCTAGAAAGATCCTTTTCATTGGGATGGTGGCCTCCCTTGGCCACTTAGGCAGCTGTTGAAATGACACAGGGTTGGCAGGTAGAAAAGGCAGACCCAACAAGACACATATCCAGGGGAAAGGGCAAGGCAGGAGTGGCTGGCACACTGGGAGGGCTACTTGGGGGAACAGGGGTACTTAGCTTGACTGGCTTACCAGGTGTCACACATATATTTTTGGTTTTACATTTCCTTTTCCTTGGTACAGGTACAAACTCTCCATCAGTTGACATTTTTATATCTGAAATCTCTACTTCAACCTCAGCAGCATTTGGTGGTTGGCAGAGATTTTCACCAGTATCATCAGATGAATTGCAGAGAGAGAGAGCACACTGCTCCATCTCCTTTTCAACTGAGGCCATTTGGCCCTCATCAGCTGCATCCTCTTCTGTTGTCACAGGGCCCTCCACATTACTATCATCATCATCACTGATAATTATTGGAAACTCCTGGATCATAAAGTCATCAGTATCAGATAACACTTCCAGAATCTCATCTGAAATTCAAGAGGCACATTCACATATAAGCAGACTTTCTCCACCCTATGTCCCCACCCTGAGACACTCAACTTCAGATTATTGAGCAGAAATTAAACAAGCAGAAAACTGTGACATTATGAATCACAGTTAAGAATCAGTTATTCTAGATTATTTTCCCTCTATTACTTTTTTACTTTACAGAGAATAGTTACAGATAAAACCAATCCAAGTCCAGTGGAAATCTTCAAATCACATTCTCTAAATAGCATGACGTAGGTGATCAGATGTTCCCAAATACAGGTCTGTAGATTTGTATAGTCTCACTGGTCCATAGAAAAATAAGAGACAATAGAATAATACAGTGGGGTTTTTTCCCAACAAGTTCAATTTCTATAACTTAAAGGACTGTCCTTTATTTTGAGATTATGTCCTCACTAAACTTTTGGGGCTCTTTACTTTATGAAATCATGGTGATAGTAGATAGTAGTTGGAGTGTATTTCCATCATCAGACAAATTAAAAATTGGCAATTCTATGCTTGCCACCAAAATTTAATTTTCTAACCACTGATGTAAGAGTGAGGAGTTAAGTCCTGATGTTAGCACTGAACGGCCTTGGGAGCATTTGGAATGTCATCACCCTCAGTTGAAGGAGCCCTTCACCTGATTTGAAGGGCGGCATGTCTAACACCACATGCTCTCTGGAGTCTGTTCAGAGCTTAGCTTCTAGGTTTCTGATTCTGGATGTAAAAATGTAAACCAGAGCAGAGGCAAGATGTGAAACATATCCATGACGCAAAAAATCTTTATTGTAAAACTAGAGGCCCAGTGCATGAAATTCGTGCACTGGGGGGGTGTCCCTCAGCCCAGCTTGCACCCTCTCCAATGTGGGACCCCCCCCCCCAGGGATCGGGCCTAAACGGACAGTTGGACATCCCTCTCACAATCCAGGACTGCTGGCTCCCAACCACTCACCTGCCTGCCTGCCTGCCTGCCTGATTGCCCCTAACTGCTTCTGCCTGCCAGCCTGATCACCACCTAACCACTCCCCTGCCAGCCTGATAGATGCCTAACTGTTCCCCTGCCAGCCTGGTCCCCCACAATGGCCCTCCCCTGCCAGCCCAATTGCCTCCAACTGCCCTCCCCTGCTGGCCATCTTGTGGCAGCCATCTTGTGGCCACATGGGGGCTGCCATCTTTGACCACATGGGGGCGGTCATCTTGTGTCTTGAAGTGATGGTCAGTTTGCATACTGGTCATGACTAATTAGCATATCCCTCTCTTATTTGTTTGGCTTGATGGTCAATTTGCATTCCAGTTGTGACTAATTAGCATATCCAGGCTAATTAGCATATCGCTCTCTTATTATATAGGATTGCAGATTTGGGAGAATGTATATTGAACTCTCATCTATTATTTGAATTAATTACCAAACAACTTTAGATATGCAATAAGGAAAGAGAAAGGAGTGGGCATGCTCCCCAGAAAACTTAAAGATTTCCCACTGCAATGGAAACTTTTAAAACAGTGGGGACGCACTGCTCACAATCCATAAAGCATGACAAAGGTTAGAATTGAGGTTTAAAGTGTGTTAAAATTCCTCAGGCCTCTTTTTCTGTAAAATTATCAAAATTCATGTGGCGAACAGTAAAGAGACAAAGACAGTCCCTTGGAGCCTTCTTCATCCCTCCATGACTGAAAGGGATGCCCACAGTTATTAGCCCACTGGTCAGACACGTAAGAGCAGCCTGAGTTGGAAATTCACCCTCAAAAGACTACGGATCTTCTGACTCAAGGAGTCAGCAGCTAGTGGCCTATGGGCTCTGTCACTCATGCTCTACTCTGCAGCTACCTCCCAGGGACCCCTTTCCTGCTCAGGCACATGCACTCAGAGCTAAAGAAAAGGAGGGAGAAAAGAAATTCGAGTGGACAGGTGGTGGAACAGGAGGCTAGGGTTCTAAGCCACCTCTCTTTTCCCTGCTCTCATATCCCAGGTTAGCTAGGAAATGCTAGCCAACGGTAGTTTTAGTGTAGTTACCAAAGAAGTAACCAGTACCTTAACTAAGCACCTATGTATCATGCCCTACACCTTGTACTAAGCAAACAAAGATAAATAAAATACCACCCCTGATGCTTAAGAAGCTCCTAGTCTTCCTACATTTCAGACCCACTGAGCAGGTTCTAACCTGGGAGTAAAGCTCCATGCCTCTCACAAGGTTAAAAGGGCCTCTGAATCTAAAGAGGCAAGGTCCTGCTGCAGGAAGCAGGTGGTGAGAAAAACAGGAATCTCTAGAAAACATACAGAGAGTAGCAAAAGGCAAAGACAAAGAGCTAGATGAAGAAAGCACAGATTCTTCTGCAGGACCATCATCATCCACCCAAGTCTCCATCAGGCAGAAAGAAGGAGCCCATGTCTCTCTCACTCCTCTTTGTTACTCCTACACAGAGAGAAGGAAGAAGGGTGTCCTTGGCTTGCTTCCCTCTGCTCCCTTAAAGCAGTGCTACGTAGGTGAGAACTCCATTAAGAGAAATGCCCAGGGTCTAAGGCAGCACCAGGAGCAGTTGCTGCTATGTTAGGAAATCTACCAAGGGGTGTAGGGAATCCAGCTATATCCACATCCGGCACATATGAGGAAAGAAATGGTGGCATCACTACTAAGTGACTCAGAATAGAACTTTGGCTGACTTATCTTGCAATGCTTGTGTGTGATGAGCTTGCAGAGCTCAGCTGCTTCTCTAATTTTGTGGTATACTTGCCTCTGCCACTTTCGGCGTCCTTACTTCCATCTTCCTCAGGGAAGTATTCATCATCAGAATCCGAGTCAATCACCACATAGCTGAGTGATAAGATAGGGAAACACCAAAGAAAAGTGTGAACACAACATTCTTTCCATGACATTTCCGATCTTTTCTACAATGAACAGGGCCACTTTGTTATCCCCTTGAACATTTCATCCTTAAAATTATCTCGTTTCTTGATTTCCAGAATACTGTTCTGTTTCAGTTCTCTTCTCACTTTTTCATCCACTCCTCACTCACTTCTTTCCCTCATCACATTCCCAGAGTTTAGCTAACAACCCTTTCCTACCAATTTAATCAATTCCTTGGGATTGGGTAAGCGTTATCTATCTGTCCACCCAATCCATCCTATCCAGTCCGACTTTGCCTCTGACTTCTATCTCCTCAATTCCAAATTCCTGCCTGAATGCCCTGTGTGTAGAGCCAATTTTTAGTCAGCATGCCTAGGAATAGCTTTCCCAACTGCTGATTGATAGTGTCTGTTCTGACAACTCAGGCAGCATCCTAATTCCTGTCTGTACTCTATTGGTCATTAAATGTTTTGAATATCAGCCCTGGTTATTGGCCCCTTAATTTCAACATGCCCCAAACTGCTCATCACTTTCCTCCCCAAACCCACTCTTCCTATAGTATCCCAGAGAGAAACCACCTGGCACTGAACCATGATCTGTGGGCACTCCTGACAGGCCCCTTAAAATGGATTTTCTTTACATATTTAGTCTAGCGGAGGCAGGAAGAAACCAATTTTTCTATTTAAAAATTAAATAGTTTTTAATTGATCAAATAAGGACTTTGTTGTGTATAATGTTATAAACCAGACTACTTCTAAGGATCCATGATAAACTATTTAAAATGTAAATGATAGTCATGGAAATATTCTGCATCTTTGACAGTGGTGATGGTTACACCACAGTCTATGAATTTTGTCAAAATTCATCAAACTGTACATTGAAAAGGTGTGAATTTTGCTGTATGTAAATCAAACCTCAATAAACCTGCCTTAAGTATAAATAATAAAACTGATCATTTCCAATAAATAGCTTTATACAATGTATTATTTGGTTCCAGAATTACAGCTGACTGCAACTGCTGACTTTAAATCACTTTTCACACACTGGTGGCAGGCTTTATGGCTTACATGTTGCAAAATAATAAACAGAGATAAATCAGAGCTAACTAGAAAAAATTTTCCCACTTGACAGCGCTATTTGGCTTGGAGGAGGATGGGGGGCAGAAATGACCAATTAACATTTCTACAGAGATGTAAGGAGTATATGTGGAAACCATAGTCATCTAGCACCATATTTCAGATTTATTCCAATAATTGTAGCATCTCCTATAGTTTGGCACCTGGGCAACACCTGTTCATCTAGCTCTGGCTAGCACAGAAGGCTCCTTAATAGAAATAGAAGATAATGCTGAAAGATGGAAGAGTGTTGGACCACAAAGGACTTTATCTACTGGGGATAGACAGCTTGATTTTCCTATGACAAGCAATTGAAATAGGGGATCAATATGGCCAATGCAGTGTCTCTGGAGATGAATCTGGAAGTGCGATGCAGACTGAATCAGAGGAGGAAGAGATCAAGGGGATGAGCCACTTAAAAACACTCTTACACTAACACAAGAGTGAAAACTGATCAGGGCCTGTGTAGTGGAGACTGAAGTTAAGAGATGGTTCACAGCAACATTCTGAAAGAGAATCTAATTAGATAATGGACCGGAATTAAGGAATCTGATATTTTGAACCTGGTTGTGAGATCAAGCACCCATTATGACCCTGAACATGGTGTTCACAGAGGAAAAGTGATATCTATTCTGAAATCTTACCCAGAACATTGTTCCTTAAAAAATGTCAAATTTGCCCTGGCTGGTGTTGCTCATTTGGTTGGAACATCATCCTGTGTACCAAAAGATTGCAGGTTCAATTCCCAGTCAGGGCACATACCTAGATTGTGGGTTCGATCCCCAGTCAGGGCACGTACAGAAGGCAACCAATCAATGTACTCTTTCACATTGATATCCCTCTCTCTCTCTCTCTCTCTCTCTCTCTCGCTCGCTCTCTCGCTCTCGCTCTCGCTCTCCTTCTCCCTCTCCCCTCCCCTCCCCTTCTCTCTAAAATTAGTAAGCATATCCTTGGGTGAGGATTTTAAAAATTGTCAAATTTCACTAATTCTCCTACTTACTCCATGTTCCTATTCTGTGTGCTCATTCCAGCCACACCTAAATTAGAGAAAGAAAGAGCGTATTAGAAAGCATCTGAATCATGACAAAATCTGGTGACCCATGTTTTTAACTCCCTAAAACCAAAGTCCATAAATTGAAACTGGTTAAAAATTTATGGTGGACTCTTTTCTTACATTTCCCATGAGAGATAGAGAGGAAATAAAAGTAAGGAGACCTAGAATGAATGAGGTAAAGGAAGCAAATTAAAAAAGGAGCACAGTACAGGGAACTTCTTTTGCTCTTAGCAGCAAGGACATTAATTTTGCTTCCCCAATCTAGAGAGAGCCCTAGAAGAGACCAACCCAGGACCAGCTCACACCAAATCACACTTCAGTCATCTCTACAAAGACATGGTTAAATTACCACTTTGAATAGGCTGTACTTACAGGGCTCAAATTCTTCATCACTGCTTGAGTCCACAATAAGAATGCTATTGGAGAAATAAAATACATGTTGTTTTAAAGGAAGACTACCAACATCATAATGCCAAAAGTCTCCAACGAAGAGAACCCCCCAAATCATAGTTTCTGAAATGCACATTGGTTTTAAAGGCTTATGAAATTAGGCACAATAGGGGAGTGAAGGAAAATTAGAAGCAACTTAGTCTTTACTACAGAGTCAAAGATAGGGGAAGAATGTTAGTTGAGTATCATTAGCTATCAGTGCCTGTTTTCTGCCAAATGTTTTCTTTCTATTTAAAGATATAAAAGTGAATTCTGATAAAGGAGCCACAGGGGAAAGGACTTAAGGATGAAGAGAATACAGTTAAAATTGAAATGAGCAAAAGGGACATCCCTTGGGGCTTTACTGCTTGAAGAAGGCCTGCTTATAGGGACTACTATCCAGGTAAACAGACAAATGCTGGAGTCCATTTCTTGGGGAGCAAACAACAGATGATTTTAAAGCTGTAACTGGTCCCTGCCCTGAGCCATGATGTTAGGGCCTCTTGCTTCTCTGCCTCACAATTTCCTTGGGCACTCATATTCATTCTTCCCTGCCATGTGGCAGCCTGAGGTGAGGCCACAGCACATTCTGGCTCAGAATCCCTCAGCTCACCAGATAGCAGCTGACAGTCGTCAGCCATGCATGATACAGATTCCAAATCCAGCTTGGAGAACTCATGCTGCAGTAAGCATCACTTCAGCATTGAAACTAGCTACATCCTAGGACTTAATCATAGGTCATCTTACCATTAGTTATTGTGACAGAGGGTACCACAGGTGCTAAAGAAGGTGGACATTTAATAGCTGTAAGGGTTTACATATATTTATATGGTTTTACATAATAGTTACAAGATTTTACATATAAAAAAGGTAGCCTTAACCACTTCTTGAGGACTTTCATTTTAGCATTGAGGTTGATTACTGGGAAGACATGCTGGCTCACTCCCTTAATTAAATTTCCTATTCATTTATCCATCACTATACACTAGACTTACTGAGTAGTAGACTTCAAGTTGTTTTGTTTTTTAAATCAAGAAAGAAAATTCTTGCTAGGTGTAAGGTTTGTAAGGAATGGGTCCAAATGTGACCTTGGTTATCTTGAAACCTATTATCAATAAGTAGCACTGTATATAAACTAAACTATACTTCATCTATTTTCTTACATGCTTTTGCATTAGATACAGAGAGCAAAGTGATAGTTGCCAGAGGGGAGGGGGCTTGGGGTACTGGGTGAAAAAGGTGAAGGGATTAAGAAGTACAGACTGTGGGGGGCAATGGACAATAAGGACACATATGTAATATCTTAATCAATAAAGTAAAAAAAAGTACAGACTGGTAGTCACAAAATAGTCAAGGGGATGTGAGGTACAGCATAGGGAATATAGTCAATAATATTGTAATAACTATGTGTGGTGCCAAGTGGGCACTGGAAATATTGAGGGGAACACTATGTAAAGTATATGATTGTCTAACCACTATGTACCCCTGAAACTAACACAAAATAATATTGAATGTAACTGTAATTGAAAAAATAAAATTTAAACTTCTTTTTAAAAAATAAAACAAAGAATCTTAAAATACTAATTAGGCTTTGATTGATCAATGAACACCAGACCCCCACCCCTTTCAGTAGCGTTTCTGCACTTCTACCCCTTCAAACTGCCAAAACCCCCTTTTACTCTTAACGACTTTGTATCATAAGTCACTGGGACAATAGAAGCCATCAGACAGGAATGCCCTCATCCTCCCAGAAACAAATTGACTGACTTATCTGTAACTACCTTCCTTCTCTGTTCTCAACAAAAGCATAGTGTCCCTACCACTATCTGAGGCCAAGTCCTCCCTTGTTCTTTCCATCTCATCCTCCTCTAGCCTTCTCAAGGACTTTATTCCTGCAATTTTCTGTGCTGTATTATTGTCCCCTCTCCCTGGTTCATTCATTCTACTATCCCTAGACCTCATGTCCCCCAACTATATATTTCCAGACTTGAACTTTCCACTGAACTCCAGCTATATGTGTAATATCTTGGGTATTACTAAGTATTTAGAACATAACATGGCCAACACAGAACTCTTGATTTCCTCCCTCAGTCCTGTTCCTATACCAGTCTTACCCATCTCAGTCACTGGCACCACCATCCAATCCATCAGCAAGACCTGTTGGCTCTACCTCTAGAGCAGTGGTTCTCAACCTGTGGGTCGCGACCCCTTTGGGGGTTGAACGACCCTTTCACAGGGGTCGCCTAAGACCATCGGAAAAAACATATATAATTACATATTGTTTTTGTGATTAATCACTATGCTTTAATTATGTTCAATTTGTAACAATGAAAATACATCCTGCCTATCAGATATTTACATTATGATTCATAACAGTAGCAAAATTATAGTTATGAAGTAGCAATGAAAATAATTTTATGGTTGGGGGTCACCACAACATGAGGAACTGTATTAAAGGGTCGCAGCATTAGGAAGGTTGAGAACCACTGCTCTAGAGTAAATTTCATCTAACCTAAAACATTATTATATGTACACTACCAAATGATTACATACTATCAAACATATAATGTATCCTAATTTCAGAAATGATGAAATGTGAAAAAATGTCTTAGATGTACTATAATATTCATCCAACTCTCTCCCACTCCACTATTACCACCTTACTCTAAGCTACCATCACTTCTCACCAAACTTCTGCAAATCTGTTCTTGGGCCTTGGTTGTAAAAGAACTACTTATCTCATAGGGCTATTGTGAAAATTAAACAAGATAATGTCTGCCCTCCTATAGGATCATGTACTTCTCCCCCATGACAGCACTTATCACACTATACTGTAATTGCCTGTTTACATGTTTCTACTTTCCATCCCAGATGGTAAGCTATGCAAGGGTTTGGTAGTATATCTGTTTCACACTGATTTGAAGTGTCATTTTTATCATGAACTAAATTTTTTTATGTATTCAGGTCTATTTCCAAACTCTTTGTTCTACGGTTTCTACACTCTCCCATATACACTTACATGCTTATCTGTGAAGGAGGAAACCAGGGCAGTGTCCCAGGAGAAGACAAGAGGAGATAAGACAACTACCTTAAAGTACATCATCATGGAGAAGAAAAATACTACATCTGTTATTTCTAGAGGGCAGCACTATAAACCAGGTAGAAGTAAAGTAAAGATAGGTTTGAAGTTCCTCAGAATGCAGAACATTCTAGTAATTACCCTGTACACATATTCAACAATACAATTGTGTGTAGGAGTTGTATGTTCCTGGCCACCAACAGAGATGTTATATAGAGGACTAGAGGCCCGGTGCATGGGGGGGGGGGGGGCGGGGGAAGTCCCTCAGCCCGGCCTGCACCCTCTCCAATCTGGGACCCCTGCAGGATCAGGCCTAAACCGGCAATCAGACATCCCTCTCACAATCCGGGACTGCTGGCTCCTAACCGCTCACCTGCCTGCCAGCCTGATCACCCCCTAACTGCTCCCCTGCCGGCCTGATTGACATCTAACTGCTCCCCTGCCGGCCTGATTGACATCTAACTGCTCCCCTGCTGGCCTGATTGCCCCCAACTGCCCTCCCCTGCTGGCCAGATGGCCCCCAACTGCCCTCCCCTGCTGGCCTGGTCGCCTCCAACTGCACTCCCCTGCCAGCCTGGTCACCCCTAACTGCCCTTCCCTGCTGGC